CGGATGTTGAAAGGCTGTCACATCACGCCTTTTCGGAGTGCCCGACAGAAACAAGGGAAATCCTGTCCCTGCAATATTTCATCGATGGCATCCGGGACCCTGAAATACAGAAAGCACTGCGAATGGCGGATGTTAAAGATGTAAAAAGCGCTTTAGTGTACGCCGTGAAATTTGGAGGCAGCCCAGCAAGCAACTCTTAGAGATCGCTACCCAGTCAGAGCTGTGCGAGTCCACGACCCAGGGGACCAATTGATGGCTCGTTTAGATGATTTATCCAGACAAGTCGATGCTTTGATACGGAGTAGCAGTGAGAACAAAGTGGCTGTAAGATGTTGGAGATGTGGTTCTGAAGGTCACCTACGACGGCATTGCAGAACACCCCAGGGCACGGATAATAAAACGGATGAGTTGACAAGACCAGTGAATGCTTTAAGACGGAATAGTGGGTGAAACGAAACCGACCCTAAAGTGCTGGAATTGCGGTGTTGAAGGCCACCTACGAAGGAAACTGCAGAACTCCCCAGAGCACGGAAAATAAGGCATACGATTTAAACAGACAATTAAATGCCACGGGAAGGAAAAGGACTGACAAGAAACCAAAGTGCTGGAACTGTGGAGCTGAAGGCCACGTACGAAAGAATTGCAAAACACCCCAGGGTACGAAAATTGAGACAATTTCTGAGCAACGACGCAGGAAACAAATTAATGACCATATCAAGGAACGGAGGTTGCCAGATAATGAAAAACCCTGTTTTAAAGCGCTTAAGATCTCTATAGTGAGTGGCAACAATAACGGACTGTCCATCAATGGGAATATCGATGGAGTTCCTTGCAATATGATCATTGACACAGGAGCTAATGTTACCATCATTAGGAAAGATTTAGCTGAACAGTTTAAAGATAAACTTATTTGGACGCCATCCTGTGTTACCCTTCAGACTGCGTCTGGTGACAAGATCGACATAACTGGGAAGTTAAACGTAAACATCACGTTTGGAAGTGCCGCCTACCATCACACGGCATATGTGGCGGATATTACAGATCCATGCATACTCGGATTGGACTTTTTAAGGAAATACAATTTTTCCTTAGATTTCAAAAACAATAAGCTGCTTTCAGCATCTGATGGCATGACTATCCATCCTCAAAAGGGATCCTCGCCTGGAAATGTCGACGCCTTGTCCGAAAGATCGAGCTCGGGAAGCTGCCGAAATCATACCAGGGTCGAAAAGAAACGCAAGACTACCAGCTATTCTCCATCCCAGAAGCTCTTCGGTCGAGACCTTCGTCTGCCTTGTGACCGCCTGTTTAGTCGCCCTACGGATGCGCCTTCATCGCCTGAGGAACACATCCAAGATGCCCAGGCCCGGTTTGAGGGATGCACCGTTCTGCACGAAAGCGAGTCAACTTGGCGACGGAGAAAAATGAAGACCAGATGCGACACAAGAGCTACTAGACATAGATCCAACAAAGGAGACAAGGTGTGGTTGTGGAACCCGATTCAACGAAAAGGACTGAGTCCTAAATTACAGTCACCTTCGGATGGTCCATATACAGTGCTGAACACGAATGACGTCGTGTGGTTCGGATCCGTGAGTCTTCGAACTCTTACGACAGGTTAGCTTATTACTATGGCCATAGTACGTAATGTAAATAATTGTAAATAGTATAAGACCATGGTCCTTTTGTTTTTAAATGTGTATTTGATTTGATTTGTATTTAGTATTTGATTTGATTTGTATTTGATTGTATTTTTTTGATAGCATTGATTTGTTTATTATTGCATTTATGTTCATGTTGTTTATTATTGTAATGTAATGCTTATTAATGCATTATGCCACAGTTGTAAGTTTAGCTTCCTGTCCAGGGATTGTACTGCCCGGGACGTGCAGTCCTTGGGAAGGGGGCAGTGTTACGAATTTGGTACTTAAAAAGCTAATGTTAGTTCAATTATAAATTAAATGGTTTTATTTCTCGCGCAGTGCAGCGCGTGACGAATATTAAAAGAAGAAAGCTAAGCCGGAAAATTAAAAATACAAGAGCGCGTGCATTAAATAAATAAATATCTCTTTTTGATTTCGAGAAAGTACTGGAAAATTCTAGCGCGTGATTTTAAAATCTTATAAAAGGAGGAAAACATCTCAGTTTGTAGTAGTTGCTTAGTTTGTTGTTGTTTAGAAAAACTGCTCTTGTTGATTGTAGCGAATTCGCGGATTAGCGTTCTTTAGCTGTTTTGAATTACGTTCTATTGTACATTTGAGTAGTTAAAAGATAACTACTGTGAGATATTGTAATACTGCATGATAATTTGAGAAAATTTAAGCATTTTTGTTGTGATAATAATAAATTTTTGTTCATTTTTCATCGGATTTGTGCATTCATTTCATAACGAACCCGTACGTACGCAAAGTATTATCTTAGTTTGCAACTGTTGAACTAATAGAGTTTATAGTTTTATATTTAGCTTTTTGAATGTCACAAAATTTTTGTTTATTAAATATTCTATCTGCCAGTTGAGTTTAAAAACGTAAAGATGTGAGTCTGTTCTAACTACGTTTTCATATTCATTTCGTAAAAATAAAGGTACTACTGTGGTAGACGGTTGCACGGATTTTTGGCGATTTACACTGGCGCAATTGTTGGCGCGGTTTTTACAATCGTCAGCCATCTTGAAAAACGCTGTTTTTACGCATAGTAAAGTATTCGAAACTTTAAAAAAATAAATATCGTTAAAAATAATGGATTAATTTTTTGTTGAAAACTTTGTTTTTTAAGATGGCTGGCAAATGTAAATAAATACGTTTACTAAGAGTGTACAATACTAAGGTAAGGTTAAATTATCACTTTCATATAGCAAAGAAATGGAATAAAAACACCGCTATAAAAAACATTGTCCAACGTTTAATTGATTAAAATATTACTAAATTGAATATCGAATTAAAAGCATCATACCAACATTTAAAAGAATTAGAATATTACTTAAATTTAAATACTTTAAGTTTTATAGTATATAATTATTAACATTAAAACATATGTGGCAATAAATATCTCGGCAAGTTTTGAAAACAGTATAATTTTTTAACAAAAATTGAAGTATACAATTATAAAAAAGAAAAATATGTACTTACATTTTTTTAGATTTTACCTGTCGTTACCCCAAAAAAATCAGAATCATAATTAGATATAATTTGTGGTAAAAAATGGAGGAATGTCTCGAAAACAAGGCTATTTTCACAATCTATATTACGGGTAATCAGAATCGGCTCTTTTACATCTGCATTAGATCCACATATCTCGCACTTCATTGAAGAAGCAATTAGCGAGGTTCTCCAAAAATTTAAAATAAATTTTCCTCTGACCCTTGTAACAATTTATAAATAAATCTTTCATTAGAAAAGCCAGGTTAGCCAAAATAAAATCTCAAAGGACAGTTTTTTGATTCCGATACCAATAATTCCTGTTACATGCCAATAATTCATCTTTAAAGGGACATATCCGTTCACTATGAAAGCTAAAGAATTCGAAGAAATGAATAATAAAAATTTTAAATGGCGCGGTAATGCGCAAATGTTCAGTAACCAATCAGGGAGCTGATTATAGCTCGTTAATGCACAAATAGTCTAGAATTAAAATTATTTAAATGATCATACATAACGCAGAGATCATTTTTAAAAATGCAAAATTAAATTGTATTTTAATATTTAACAGCCATAAATAATGTTTAAAACATTTAGATTAAATTTATACATATTAAACGAATTACTTTTAAAGTAAGGTGACGTCATTGATTACATCATCCACAACATAAAATTCATAAAATATCATAAACAATAAAATTTTTATTTCAAATAAAATGCAAAATTAAATTGATTTTTAATATTTAAAGCCATAAATAATATTTTAAAACACGGAATTTATGCATAATAAAACGCATTATTTTTTAAATAAAATGACAACAAAGTAGCGGTTACCATAAATAACTTGTCCAGCAATGAGTTTACCATACGTCGTATCGCTCGCCAAAAAAAAAAAAAAAAAAAAAAAAAATCTCCAAATTCCGTGCAACCGTCTATCAAAGTAGCACCAAAATAAACACCGTAGTATTTTAAATCCGGTGAAGTGGATTTTTATTTTCTCAAGGCCACTTCGCCCCAGCAACAGCTTTATTTTGGAAAGCAATGTAATAATGCATATTTTTATTTTATTGTATTCAGATTTAATAAATTACTTTAAATACATAGAGAATTTAGTATTTTAGAAATTCGTTCTTTCATTGAATAGTTTGTTTGGATTTGAGAAATAATATAAAAGGGATAATTATTATGTTTGGTTGCAGAAAACTGTCACCACAAAATTATTGTTGAATGATGTATCTGCACATTTTGAGAAATTAATAAAACGTTGTTTGCGCTGAGAAAGTATATAATGCAATTCATTTATTAAATACACTTTTTTCATTCGTATATTAAATTAGGCTTAAGTGAACAAAGAAGCACATGAAAATAATTAATATATAGCATGCAACTTTCCATATTTTTAGCGAATTACCATATAAAATGTTTTAAAATACTCTTTGAGTAGAAATTTAGGAAGTGTTAGACATCTTAGTTTTACACACGATGAATAATGTCAAAATATTAAATAATAGCAATTTACACATTACTAATGAAGTTTTATATGCATTTAATATGATCCAACAAATGATAAATTTACCTAGTGACACGTTTATGTATTTAACGTTCATTTAGGAAATGCATCTTACAATGATACCAACATTTTTCATTAATTTTCCAACTAAAACATAAATTATTATATTGATGTTTATCTGCTTTTCATTGTGACTTACCGATATATCTTCCAGCTTATTAAGATAATAAAACGCATGCCCTGAAATCTTAGTGTCATTCTTATTCTTTCAGAGATAACGATTTTCTAATTCATATTCTAAGAATTTTTTAAATCCCATATGAGCTTTATCATTTCGTTATAAGTCATAAATATCATAAATAATAATAGTTATACCATTTGTTTTTGGGAGGTCTCAGTCTGTTTACTTCCATAGCCATCCTCTGTTTCAGCAACATCTTTTCATCCATTTTCAACTTCTCTCTTTTCAATCTCGTAAGCTCAAGCAGATGTAGAGAAGGGGGAATCAAATTTTGAACCTCGGTATCTGACGGTGGTAATATAATTGGATGCTTTATAGTATACATAGGAGAATGCGATCTAGATCTTCTCTTCAGAGTGCAGTGCAAGGATTGTTCATCAGAGTTAGGGACTGGAAGTTCTATTTGGTAAGATTTACGTACCGGTGAAGTAGATTTTCTTCTTCTCTTACTAAACGAAACATGAAAGAAAGGATTTTTTAATAAAAATAAAACAAAATTATGTTTCGGTAATTAAACAGAATACATGTACAGATAAATCGATATAACAGGAAAAAATATTATTTACATATTATTACAAAAAGGCAAAAAGAAAACAAAAGCTACCGAATGAGCTCCAGATCTTGAGTATTGAGGAAGAAACGTATTCCTTTTATCACTTAGGGTTCGTTTTTCTTTTTCTACAGATGTAACATACCAGACAATACTTACAAAGGACTAATTACAATTCCATAGCACCTAGTGACAGGCATTTTTAAGGCAAAAGTATTAGACGATGACATTTATTTATTTATTATTTAACAATGACTTTACTCATTTCATCAATTTAGTTTTGAAGATGAGCTATAGCTTTCCTTAAATAAATTATCACATCCAATAAAACGAATATTAATCAAAAGTTTAAAAATTGTAAATATGTTACTTATAAGAAATTGTGGCATTGCTCTACGCATGCTATTGTAGTGTAAGTAGTACGTCCAGCTAGCAACTAAAGCTAGGAGACCAAATAGCGGCGACAGCGTCGCTGATTTTTCACATTTCTGGCTTCATAAAACCTAATTCATTTGTAACGGCACTTGAAATAAAATGGGGTAAACGAAAATTTATCATTACCTGGATGTGGCCAACTGGATCTCTAGCTACTTCTCATCCCCTTTAAGTGGAAGAGAATACAGGAAATTATTTCCTTCCCTGTTAACACTTTCGTGGCGTAATTGATTAGCACGTGCAATTGGCATATGAAAGATACGTGTTTCAAATCCCAGCGAGGATACTGTTAATTTTTTATTCTTGGTTCTCAGAAAAACTTAATAAATTCTACACTTATTTCGTAAGCAAATTTTTCGCCGTCTTCTGCCCGTTACTTTACCGACGTTTCATTTGTATACCAAATGAAAATTCATTGTATACCAAACTTTAAAAAATACTCTGTTTTATCATACATATACACTAAATACAGCCGACTCCTGATTAACCAGAACGTATTCACCAGGTTACAAAGTATCTGGGTTTATTTAGTCCAAAGGGGCTTTGTCCCTGAGGGACTATTGTTTTCGTTTAGCTATTTTGCGTCGAATCACTCTAATGTCCGTTTCACTTTCTAAACTGTTGCCACTAAATATTATCGCCTTTTATTATATTTGAAGAATTTAAATAATGAAGAATCTGCATAACTATATGTATGTTTCTCGCTTTGTGATAAAACAGCGGTACCTAGAGCCATCCAGTTTTGAATGACGTAATCTATGGATATGCCTTGGAAGCCCAAATTTGGATTGTGTTTATCGATTCATTTTTATAGAAACTTAACGATTTCTGATTAACAAATCAATGATTCAAAGCGAGCTATGGCACGTTGTACAGAAAAAAAAATTTTCTCCGGCGCGCCAGACTGTGTATCGGAAATTCTAAAGATATGCTCAATTTACAATTATTTTGCGACATTGCTGTTGAACTGAATTCTGTAGTTTAAGTGAAAAGAACATGATATTTAATAAATAAAGGTAACACAAAAAAAAAGCCTCTGTGGACGCAATTTAAAATCTGAAATCTTTCAGATTTTTATCCCCCCCCCTTTAAGTTTGTTTGCGGAACCATGAAAAAACTATTATCACAAGCCGTCAGAATAAAGCGAAATTTCTAAGGAAGACGCAGGAAAGAGAATAAAATGTTTAGAATACTAGCAATAATAATAGATGGTATTACAATCTAAGTACCGCCTTTAACTACACTGACTACCAATAAGTATTTGGACACCTGTGATAGAAAAGGAAAATATTATTCAAAATCAATAGTGGTAGAGCTCCAGAGAGTAATAAGGGTGGACCCGCGGGAATACTTCCAAAGTTTTGATGACAGTAGTGGTATTTCTTCCACTGCTTGGAGAAGACATAGAAGTCCTCCTGATTTGCAGGGTAGTGCACCCTGAATCGGCGATGCAACTCGCCCAGAGGTTCTCGATGGGGTAAGGTCTGGACTTGGGCGCCAGTCCAGTCGATGAACTCCATGGAAATACTAAGCCTTGTTAACGTCGAAAAATGACAACTGGCATGTCCACGAAGGAACAGGTCAACCGTAAAACTCCACAACGTAGAAGCACATTGTCTCCAAATAGTGCTAGGCATCGGAGTGAGCTACAATAAATGGGGACCAAGGGTCCCAGCCCATACCAGGAGAAAACCCCCCAGACCTTAATCCACCTCCACGAATGACTGTTGGTACAATGCATTTGGAGAGACGTTATCCAGGTAGACACCAGCCCGACCGCATCCGAACAGAAAGGAAACCTGATCCGCACCCAAAGAACCCGTTTTCACTGACTACGGTCCATGTCGTTGTGCTGTCACCACATTAACGACCGCTGTTGGACTGTGAGCAAAGCTTATGGGCAGCGCACGACGATGAAAACAAGCAGAGGTTCTAGGATTTTTCAGTGCAAAAGTACTCCCGGATGCCGTGAAACTCCTCGAGGATGGGGCCATCGGGGCGGGTCTTCCGAATTATCTGGATAGCATCGTCGCTCACAGTTTCTGGTATGCCGCGGGGCAATCGACAATCACCGATCACTTCCACTTTTTATCAATATGCCATGCGATTGGGAATTCAGATGGAAAGATATGTCCTTAAGGATCGGCGACATTGTGATACCCGATAATTAACCTTCTCGAAATCAGAGAGATCGAACTGCGAGGCATTGATGCGACTAAAGCCGATGCTGTTTTTTACACGATATATACCGGAGGAGTCAGTGGCGTACCTTGGGACCGCAGATATCGTCATTTGCATAGGTGTCCAAATACTTATTGGTAGTCAGTGTATAAAAGTTTCTAATTTAATTATTAATGTAATCTGGAATAGATAAATATTATTAAATTTTCCATTAAAAATAAATTACTAAATAGTAAACAAATGTACAATAATTAATTTTCACTTTCTCATTGACTTTTACCGAAAGAGACGGAAATATAAGTAAAAATATTGATCTTTCTCTTTTGAAGTGTGCTCTTATTTTAAACGTTGATTTAATTTACATAATCAAATGAATGTGTACTTCAATTTAAAATGCAGACAAATTGTTAAAAGTACTTTTCCTGTTAGTTATTATATTGGTTATAGGCTACCTCTTCCCTGTTTCTTTATCAATTATTGTCCAATTAACTGAGATTTTCAGTGAATCGTGAACGTTGTTCTCGGTTTTACTCCGATTAACCGGTTATCTATTGCAGTCGTGATGTTATAGAAGGTGAATTTAGTCTGCAATATTGTGATGCTTTGCATCATATTTTCTGCATCAATAATATGTTACCGAAACTTTTTCTGTGTAATAGAGCAACTGAGATTCAGATTAATTTTTGGAATCTTTATACAATATAGTTATAGGATATATTATATATATATATATATATATAGATAGATAGAGGATAGATAGATAGATATAGATATATATATATATATATATATACAATGAAGCTATAGAATATTCATAATTTTATTCTTATATCACTTCTACGAAAGTCATTTAGGGAAAATCTTTTTGGAAATATTTTACCGTTCGAAAGAAATTGAATACATAAAAAATTTCAGAAGCTTAATTCTTTCAGCAGCTGAAAAGACAGACTGAATAATAAATATAACCCTGTAAGCTTGTGTGCGATTTAAAATACATATGAGAAGATAAAGTATGAAATTTTAGACTTTAATATTGCAAATTTACTTGCAGTGTTATGATTTTAAAACTTAAAAAACAACACACATGGCTAAAAATATACACTGTCTTTTCATTTTAAAAGTCTAAATACAATCTTTTCCTTTAAATTGTTAAAATTTAATTAATTGTATTGCAGAGTCATTAGGTTATTTTGAAGCAAGAGTCGTAAAAAATGAGCAATGCTCTCGTCAGGATTCTAATCTAAACCTCTCGAACGGTAGCATACTCGGTAGCCGAGTATGCTTCCGTTACATCACGAAGGGATGCTGGGAGGAGAGAGAAATACTTATGTATATTAAATAATAATTAAAGGTATTATTAAATTGTTAAAAAGATTTAATATGCAGGAATTGAGATATGATAGCAATGAAAGAAATAAAATTTGAATTAAATTACGAATTTCAAAGTATTTTCAAAATCAGATTTGAACATCAATTAACATTTTCTTAGTTCATGCATAATAATAAGCATACATTTATAGTTAAATTTTCTAGGTGATAAAAATTAGCTTTTATATATTTTTTTCTCTGTAAGTTTTTGTGTCTTCTTTACAAGATTCTCAGATTTTTTTTGGTATTTATAAAATTATGCAAATGTTTCTGTTAACAGACGAACTATGTAAGAAAATGCAACTACTACAAAGAGTACAATAAATGAGGAAGTGCTAATACGAACAATAAATGAACAACATTTCATTATTAAAAATTTCATAAACTCATAGGCAAACAACTTCAATATAATGAAAATATTTTTCCAAAAGGGTTATATAATGTCCAAACAAAATAAAATGATTTCACTGTACCTCTGCTTTCAGGATGATAGATCTCGATCATAAACAGAATAAAAGTTGTGCTGTGAGCTGTTTGCTTACTAAAAGTTTGCTTACTAAAGAATAAATTTCTATTAAAAAATAAATCTTATTCCTTCTAAGAAAGTCTATTTCGTGCTTTGTTCAAAAATACTGAAAATGTTTTATTTAGCGCGTACTATTCGTACACTTTCTTTACATTGAAGTTTGATATTTTGCTGGAAAGAAGGAAGGGAAAATAACTGAAGTGTTTTTAATTACTTGCTTAAATAAGTAGTAGTCATTTAAATTAACACTACTAGTTTAAAATTAATTATATAAATATCTGATAAAATATAACTTAATAAATTTAACCTGTTATCAATTAATTAAATAGTTTTATTCTAAACGTCATAAAAATTAATTGAATCAAACCTTAAAACACATTGGTTAATATTTTCTGTAGAGCTAGCAAATGTTACATGAGGCTTGTAAACTTCTTTATCAAGTTCAGGATCACATGCATGACTTTTAGAGCAAGAGGATTTAATTTTACAAATTTTATACAAATGATTGTTGTTAGTGACAGGTGGTAAACTCGTTGTTAAATTCTCAGAATAAGTTGTGTTTGCTGAATGATATTTTTTACTTCTCTTTGATCTACCTGTTAGCTGCATATTTGAATCAGAGGTATTCTTTTGCTTCTTTTCGTTAATGCATCCAGAACAAAAGCTCTTAGTGAATACCGGTGATGATGCCCTATTATTATTTAAGGTAAGATTTGGCAAAAGGCAGTCCATACTGTCTTCAGGATAATTAATTTTATTTGGAAGAAGTAACATACGTGATCTTGATTTATATTCTTTGCTGTTCCCAAGGGAATTTAAATTATTTTCGATGCGCTCGTCAATGTTGTTTTCAGTGTCAGATTCTGTTTCTGTTTCCGAAGAAGAAGAACAAGAAATAAGTCTGTGCGATTGCTCTAGATGCTCTTCGAACTTGGATTGTAAATCCATGTCATATTCTTCGGAAGCTTTTGAAACATATTGTCTTTTTGTCAGCTGTAGATCTGGTAGGAGATGATTTAAAGTTACTGGACAGTATTCACGAATGCAATATTCTTCTTCAGGTGTTACACAAATTTGAATTTTAGGAGGCTGAGGTACACAGGAATCAAACTCTTTTGGAATGGGTCTCAGATGTTTTGGACGGAGGAACCAAGATGACGATGGTTTTAGTAAACAATTTGACATAATGCAAGACTATATCAACTTTGAATTTCTCAGGCAGTTAACTGAAATAAATATAGAACTATTATTACCGTGCTAACGTTATTAATCACATAAAAATTCTGATTTAATATTTTCAACACAATATAAAAGAATGAATGGTATATTGAGTATGAATGAGTAATAAAATCCGAGCTATTAAACCATATAACTGAAAATAATAATGCGGAATTCGATGTAGTTTCTAAGGGAACAATAAGAGTAAGAGACAGTTCCATTTAAATTGAGATCCTTAGACTAGTGTTAGATACCTATCTACAGACATACATACTTAATAAAAGAATATATAAATGTAATATAGAAAATGTAACGGTTACAGGCAAACAGTCCAAATCAATGTTAATTGATATTAAAAATTAAATACAATTTTTAATCAAATAAGAAGTCTTAAATAATTAAGGAATTCAGACATAAATACAATAAGAACAATTTGTTTCAATACAGTTAAAATTAATTTCGTAACTTCCATTTGTTTTACTGAAAAGAATTATTGAATAACTGGTGTATTCTGTTTAATTGTATAAAGTTTTCTTGGATTCCGTAGCTATATCTGTCTACTTGTAGACATACTAAATAGATTTGTTTATGAAATTTTTGCCTCACGAAGCTTGAAGAATTTCCATAGCCTCTTATATTTTCCAATGTCATTTTTATATCTTCTTCAAAAAGCTAAGAAATAAGCTTTTTCTTGAAAACTAAAAGCTCATTAAATTTTTGTAATAACTCATAAAGAATTATGAAGTAAAATTACAAATATCGCCTTTTAAAGTAATGAATAAGGATAACAAAATCGTGTAAGACATCATTTTTCCACTTTGGTATTTGCAGGGAAACAATATTTGAAAAAAATCAATTGCAGTTAAAAATGTAACAATTACTATTAACTACAATATTCAGTATAAACATATTTTTCTCCTAGGAAATGTAAACTCACTGATATAAATTATAATGGAGCATTGATATAAATTATAATATAGCAATAAACTGTGAATTAATTATATTGTTGTTGTTGTTATTATTAACATAACTTTCATTACTTTTATTATTATTTCATATAATCACAGTGTTATATGCAATACCGATATGAAATAAAAAGAATAGAAGTAAATTACAAATATGCCTTTAGTAATGAAAAGGTAACAAATCGTGTAAGAATCATTTTCCACTTTGGTATTGCAGGGAAAATATTTGAAAAAAAATCAATTGCAGTTAAAAATGTAACAATCCTATTAACACAATATCGTATAAAACATATTTTCTGAATGTAAACTCATGATATAAATTATAATGAGATTGATATAAATATAATATAGCATAAACTGTGAATAATTATATTGTGTTGTGTTCTAAAATCATTTCATTACTTTTATTATTATTTCATATAATCACAGTGTTATATGCAATACCGTATTTATATGGAAGTATTCAAAACTTTCTTTCATATTTTTGCATGTTCGCATTGCTAGTTTTCATATAATTTCGAAGTTAATGACAATTTAAACTGCATATAACATGTACTTCCGAAGTTTGGCTTAATTCAGCAGCGTGCAGATGAAGATGATTTCTTTCAAATAAAATAAAATTATAACAGTGCTTAAATTCTGCGCTTTGAAGCCTGTGCAATAATATCGGAAACATAAATTTTATGACTGTCAAAATCCAATATCACTTAAATCTGAAACCTGTGCAATAATATCCGAAAAATAAAATTTATAACTGTCAATTCCAATATCGGTTAGATCTATGATTACTTAAACTGACTAGACGACTGGTATAATTATTCAAATATTGAAATTTGCAATTTTGATTACGTTTTTATTAATTACGGGTTAGCGACCTTTCAAACTCACAAGCTATAAGCATAACAATATGATTACGTTTGTATTTAACTTATGTGGGTAAAATATACATCCACATGAAACTTGTATTTTTGAATAAGAAAAGATAATGAGAAAATATCTTAAACCTTATTTTAAAACCAGAAGTTAATTTCCAGTTCACTGTAAAAGTTTCGTAAAATTTAATAGAGGTTCATAAGATCATAATTGATATGTAATACACAATATGATAATTTTCTAATACCTCACTAAAAACTAGTTAGGATCAGTTATTTAATGAATGAACGTCATAGCTATCTGTCCAAACTCCATCCCAATTTCCACCAAGATTTCTAAGGATATAACTTAAACGTCTCTTGTCTCTCTTTTATTCTATGAACTTATCAAAAACTTTCGGATTGGCAAATTTTTAAGTGCCCACAGTTTCATAAAAACAGTATGCACTTATAAAGTTTCAAGCTTATTGCTAAAGTAACACAAGTCTAGGAAAATTTTCCCATATGCCTTCATATTATAATATAAACGCACACATAAAATTAATTGTATTTAAGTATTGCATTAACTGGCAACATTTTAAAATATATTCAGAATATTATTTTTAGCAAAATATAAACAATTTATATTACCTAATATACATCAAAAAATTAAATGTTGTTATTCAGATTAGTTTATCTATGTATAGTAATAAAGGAATATAATTTGAAAAATATTTTGAGAAACACAGTATTCCACAATAACAAAGCAGTTATATACTTTTAGTTGAAAAAGAAGTATTGATAAATAAATATATAACTCTACATCTTCATCATCATTTTGCGCAGTATGAATTTACATAGATCAATTTTGCAGGCATAATTATATAAACTGTTAGCATAATTACGCTATTAAGTTAAAAAAAACACTTATCATAATGAAAATTGTCTTGCGAAAAGTATAAAACTATATTTATTTCTCAATATAATATAAAAATATATTTATTTCTCATACTGAAGATTTACGTCAAAATCATATTAAATGATATTTTGAGACATAAAATTAAGGTCAAAATCATCGATCAAAATTATATTTCAAAAATCTCAGAAATCAGGTGCAATGGTAGAAAACTCAAAATATTTTTACCTCTATCCTCGCTCTGATGTACTTCCAATATTTCTCCTTTGTGTACGGAAAACGGAAGTCGTTGTCTAGCAACCAGCTAACTCAGTTCTTGTAATATCTGATGAAGTAATATTTTCGTTATCACACGTATAATTGTGTCTCAGTATTTTTCGTAGAGATATATAAGGATTTCGAATGCTCCGTTTGAATTCTGAAGGTCGAAGAAGTAGATGTAAGGACGTAAAATCAAGAGTATCTAACAACAGCTCTTTCTTAACGATTCTTTCCTTTATTTTTTTGCAAAGGTATAAAGCAAATTTCAATTTTTCTCTGGAATTATCCATGTCACGTCAAGTCTTTTATATAACTGAAGTTTCGCTTCTTTAAGGTAAACGAAATGGAAACTCTTTGAGCTATTTAATTGCATATTATGCTTTTTGTGTTAAGAAAATATTTTAAAATGCAATTTTCCTAGAATTGGATCGAAAATTATTTTCTTGTGAAATGTAGAATTAACTATTCATTTAAAATTTAAATTAGGAAACTTAACCTCTAAAGAATAATAAATATCAAAATTTTTTACTGCTGAATTATGTAAAATGTACCCAATTGTGTTTAAACAAAGTAGATCTTTTTCAAAAAAATCATACTTGAGCTTTGCAAAAACGAATATTTTGTCTCTGAGAAAACAAAAAATTAGCTTTCCATAGAAACATTATACAAAACAGGTTCTTCTTAATCAAACTATACAAAATTCTTTAAGTAAGAACCTGCATTAAATATTTGCATGATTTATATTTAAATTCACACACTTTCGACCTAATTCCCCTCCCCCCCAAAAAAAAAATTTAAAATTTGTTCGATCATAATTAGCCTTGATTGAGCAATGGGGATAAAACGGTGAGAAAGTTATTAACGTTGGGTCTGCATATATCAAGCAAACTGATGAAACTAATAGGTGGTGAACGGATATTTTCCATTAAATGTTAACAAAATGCATACATCCCATTCTGGTGGTAATTTTTGAGGACATCCGTTCTGGCATAGACTCACATATAAACGTCGAACGCCATTCTGCAGAAGTTTCTGTCATATATTCAGTAATTCAAAAAATTCACTAATGTAGTAAATTAATTGTGACCGGCTTGTCATATGCATACTCGATTCAGAAAGAAATCTTAAGGTTTGGCAAATTGAGAAAACGTTGTGATATTACGCAAACTTTACCTGGAGACAGTCGTTCTGTGCGATTGTACGCTATCTCCCCTAAGGATTAACCGCCGACAGACTGAAAGGCATTGATAATACAGTTAATCGCAGGATATCACCAGGTCGTTGAAGTTCAGTGATAGATTACTAAAAGTGATTATTTATCATAAGCGATGGTAATTCCTCAAACTGTAAAGCCAATTGTGATGAATCTATGCAGCTCCACAATGTCCCTCTTGTGGGATTCTACCCTTTTATCTAACAGCTAAATGTGTAGGAACTTGCGTGAACAGCTAAGAGAAAATAATCGCTTTAGTTCAGGAACAGAGACGTAAACTCAAGAAGGCTTAGTTACCATTTATTTCTCAAAATAAGAATTAAAACAATCGGCCCCTTTCTCAGGGCGTACAGCAAAGCCTCCACTTGGGCTTGAACTCAAAGTAATAAGAAATAAGACTTAAATAATGCTTAACAAAAAAGATATAGCCAAAGCTATCAAAATTTTAAGTATTTGGCCCCTAAATCTCAAATAAGTTAGCGAAGCTATCAAAGGACTGAAATATGCCCGAGCGTAGTAATAGCTTAGAGAGAAAGACGCAGCCTAAAGTTGAATGCGCGCTATTCAGAAACTCTAGGGCTCTTTAACCGAAGTCAGTGGAACTTCAATTTAAATATCACTCTTACGGATTTGCATTAAACTCAGTTCTAAAAACGCATTCTGGTAGGAAATTGTAGGCTGAAATTAGGAATGACAGGAAAGTAGTTTTAACTAAAGATAACTGTTAGAAACTTAGGATAAACTTTGCACTATATACGTATGTTCTCGCTATATAAGTTCTTTTATGCATATAAATAATTCATCGATCTTTCGAGCCAATAGAGAACCGTTGCTCATTGCCGAACAGGATACGTATTTAATCTGATGCATCCCGAGATTCGCAGTCGCGACACTAGATTAAGCTTTGTTAAAAGTCCAGCCTCTACCAAACTTTTTGCAACAGTGCTTTCAAATTATTGTTCGGGTTAACTTATCACTGTCGAGATACTTATCTCTCTTTTCACAATAAGTTGTTATCGTATTCATGCTGATGCCCTCATGGCAGCTTATGAATATGCATTTGGAACCACTAGCGACAACATCGTCCGATTGTGTCATTAGTTGGATTATCACGGTAAGCAATTTATCAGTTTTACCATCCAGCTTTCCTAAAGGTAGTGATGCAACCGCTGCAAAACTCAGTTGTTAGATCATCTTTGGAAGAGTCTTCGGAGTTTTATCGATTGATAATACTCCATAAAAAATGTAGTCCGAATAAACAATTAAACGCAACTTCAAATCTTTAGAACAACCATTTTCCTATTTATTTTTAACAATAACAACGGTAAAGAAAAAAATTGGTAACCATGGAAACATTTGCGAGGAGCAGAAGTATCGCGACATTTCACAGAGTGTATTAACGTCGCAGAACAAAATAAAAATATTAAACACACCCCCTGACTCTTTCAGGTAAGAGAATTACAAGAGATCAATACAATAAAATTAATAAGTATGACACAATACAATTATCTTAATACAATAGGCACTAACATAACTGTGTATGACCTTTATTAGCATAAGACAATATTAAACGAGAAATATAGGTTATTTCAAGTGGATAAATTAATGGATGGTCTTTTATAGTCCTTTCAGTTCGAATAACCATTAACTCATCTTTCCTGGTGATTTGATTTACAAATTTGTGATTTCTCATGCACAAATAATTATCTCCATTCGCCATAGTGACGTAAAAGTTTAGTTGATTAATTTCGAAGAGTAACGTTCCTTTGTAGAAGGTTGACTGCCGAAAATTTCAACAAAATGTATAAGATAACTAACTAACATTCTCTTAACCAGGAAACAAAATATTGGCCGGAGTAAGAGGTTTGGGTTCATTTAACTCATTGCTTACGTAAGTAAGGGGTCTGTGATTTAATACCAATTTGATTTCCGCTAGAATGGTCGTCATTTCCTCGAAGCTAAGACAAGCCTTTCCAAGAACTTTCCTTAAAGGGTCCTTTATGCTTCTTATGAGTCTCTCATAGAACCCACCCCAAAATGGAGCATGAGGGACAATAAATTGCCACGTTATTTCATGTAGAGAAACAAAATTTTGTAAGTCCGAATCAAACAAAATTTGGGTGAAACTTTTCAAAATGTTGTCTTTGGTTTGGTCTTTGTTGTCTTAGCATTATTAGAAATGATGACCTTACAATTCCCCTTTCTTTCCAAAAAACATCTTAAGGACAAAATAAAACTTTTCGTCGACATATCAGTAATTTGTTCGATATGAAGTGCTCTAGTAACTCCACACATGAATAAGGCTATGTATGATCTTTGTTGAGTGTCCTTTCTGGAATGAAGGAAGACTGGACCTGTAAAATCAACTCCAGATACAGTAAAGAGAGGATTTTCCAATACTCGATCCTTTGGAAATTGAGCTGTTATTTGTTTAGCAGGTTTTACAGAATATCTGCTTCAAATGAGATAATTTTTTCAAACCTTCTTTGCAATTTTTCTACCCTTTGGAATCCAAAACCTATTTCTAATTTTAGCAAGAGTCACAGATACTCCACCATGGTAAATGCTGTTATGTTCCCTTAAAATTAATACCTCAGTGAACTTTGACTGTTTGGGTAATATAACCGGATGGATTTCATCAATGGCAAAACCGCTTTGCTCAAGCCTACTTCTTACGGGCAAAATACCGTTTACATCTAAAAATGCGGCTAGCTTATAAAGAGACGATTGCTTGGGAAATTGGGTACCACATTTAAGGCATTGTAATTCAGAAGAGTACGCAAGTCCTTGTTCATACTTTATTGAGTCCTGTTCTGCCTTCCAGAATTCAACTGCACTGTAAGGTCCCATTTTTACATGTTCTTTTCTAAGTTTATCAAAAAATGCTTTTGATTAATACCGTAAATTTCAATACCTTAGTTAGGTTACTATAGTTATACAAATCTAAAATAAAGTGAGAATTCTTGATTGCACATTTATTTTGTGTTATAGTTTTAAATCTTTTATCAATTCTAAATCCTCAGTGAGATTCTCAATTTTAAGCTTATCAGACCAAACCTCATAAGGTTGACTCAACCAATGTGGTCCATGCCACCACATAGGATCTCCAAATAAATTCGAGGCAGAAATACCCCTAGAAAGAATATCTGCGGAATTTTCCTTTCCAGGGCAATGATACCATTTGTTAGGATCGGTCAATTCTGAATTTCTTCTACTCTGTTCTTCACAAAGGATTTGTATTTACAGGCCTTACCCCTTACCCAAAACAGACATATTTTGGAATCAATCTAGAAGTAGCAATTTGTATCAAATTTCAAACATTTACTTACTTGTTTATCAAGCCTAGAAGATAATAAACATGCTAGCAATTCCAAACGTGGGAGTGTGATAGATTTGAGAGGGGCAACTCTATTCTTAGAGCATATAAAACTAGTGCTAACTCTATTGTCTCGAGTGAGTGCTCTCAAATATAGCACTTTCCCGTATGCCGCTACAGATGCATCTGAAAAAGAATGAATATCATATGAAACAAAATCACACAAATTGAATTCAGAAAGATAATATCTAGGAACTGCGACGCTATTCAAATTTTCAACTTCGCTGCACCCCAACTGCCATCTTGTGGTCCAGTGAAAAGGGGAGTTCATCATCCCGATCCATGCCAGCTGTCCATAGCTCTTGAAGTAATAGCTTAAG